ATATCTTTAATTAGATCGGATCATGACAGATTTGACATCCATAAGAACTACTATAACTACATCTCAGTTATAAAAGTTCATTTTTTCGGCGACTTTCTACAACTACAATTTTGAAGATAGAGATTTTTCTTAATAACATCTTGTTAAAAGACAGATCTAGAAATATGGTCAAGTACATTTTTCAGAAAATGTGAGTTACTTTCAAAATTTTTAAACAATTCTTTTCTCAAAAACGACTCCATGTTTTCCTCGTACGTAGCAAAGCGAGATAAAAAAATTGTGCTGGTCCCATTTTCTCAACCTGTGCATATTCCAAAATCAAACTATCCTTATTTTAGAAAATTGTAAAACTACAATGTTGATGGTAAAGATTTTTGTCGTAAATTAAATCAGTTCCAAAAACCGGATTTTTAAGTAAGGTCATTTAAAAAAACTAGTAGTTTTCATAATTTGTGACCGAAGTTATTAAAATATATTTTAAAAAATTCTGAAAAACAACCCCAAATGTCTTCTTTATTTTTCTAAGGTACAGTAAAGAACACTTAAAAATGGCGCAAGTCTCATTTTCGTTGAACATTATGAATTTTGGATTTTTTAAAGAATTTTGCGTCGTCGTCGCCGCAACGCGTTTCTGAATCCTTGTTGCGCGTTGAGCGCATGGCAAAGTAATCCTCCGTTGTTATGTTTGTCAGTACTCGTCACGTCGCAGTCAGTCAGTGACTTTAATCTCCCCGGCCAGGGGCTCGAAGCCGTTAGCCCAAGAACTCGCGAAGGCTCCAAATGAGCTGCTTCAGCACCACTGGTTTCCCCAAAGTTTTATTTCACTGCATAGAGTGGTGACAACTGTAGTGGCGCACGAGTTAGCAAACACTTTCGGACACGTTTTCACTTTTGATTCTTAATTATGACAGTATATGCAAAAGTGCAGAGTGACATCAAATCTGCCCGGACTTAGCTTGAGGCACCATTAAACATAGCGGAAATATAATATTAACACAGATATGTCCTTACACACTTTGTGATATCTCGTACGTTTCTGTGTTAGGGTGCACTGTTTGAATAAGTGGAGTAAAAAGTTTCTTTGGTAATTTGAAGCAAATTGTAGAAACGTACCCCGCGATTCCATCTCAGATTTTGATGCAATTTTGTATGCTGTGGCCCACATGTCTCAAAGAACTCCTTTGGAGGAGTAGCTTTATAGCTCAAATGGTTTTTGAGTTATATGATCATTCAATTTTTGCAACTTTGGGATACAATACTTCATTCTCCATACCACTAAAGAAATGAAACTGAGCTCACTTGTACTTTTTTTGCTCTATTCATTTGAACTAATATTAAGTTTTTATTTAGTAATACACAATGAGTAAATTCCACTACATTTTTTGGTTCAGCACTGACGTTCCTTGTTTATTGGTACATAGTAATGCAGATACATTTTACATATCTTTATTTGTCACTGAATGAAATACACTGAAAAGTCAAAAAAAATTGGTGCAGCCATGCGTATTAAAATGAGATCTGGAACCAATCTGAATACGACGCTTCAGTCCGCAACGACTATGTAAGGAAACCAGAGATACTGCTGCTACAATGGCAGTCTCGCGATTTAAGTGAGTTTGAACGTGGTCTTATAGTCGGCACAAGAGAGATGGAGCATAGCATCTCCGAGGTCGCGATGAAATTTGGATTTTCCCATACGACCATTTCACGAGTTTATAGTAAATACCGGCAATCCGGTAAAAACTCAAACCTCCGGTATCGCTGCGGCCCCAAAAAGATCGTGCAAACACGGGGCCAACGAAAACTGAGGAAAATCATTACACATGCCAGAAGTGTCACCTCATCGCAAAATTACGCGAAAGTACTCAAATTTTCGAAAACCTGCAAGTGACCTTATTTTAAAACCTATTTTTAAGGAACAGATTTAACTTAGGAAAAACTCTCTATCTTCATAATTTAATTTGTAGCAAGGCGCCTACAAAACTTTTGTTTTTAATTTTCTAAAAATCAGAGATTTTAAATGAACCTATTATTTTAAACGTTTCAACCTAAATCATTATCTTAAACATTCTTCACACTATCCAACAACATCGATTAATCAAAATCAATGGAGCTATTTGTTTGAAAATGTTCAGGGACCTCATGTAAAGTACCCCCTAAAATTAAAATATCGGTTTCAAACTCAAAAAGGCTGCGACATCAACCAGATCGATCGGAGAATATCAATTTGGAAGAAAATCGGCTGAACGGTATAGGTGCTAGCATTGTCTACAGACGGGCAGACGTCTATCTTCAATTTGTAGTTGTGTAAAAATGCCGAAAAAATTGATTTTTCGAAAATTCAGACTTTGACACATATGGGACTTGTGTCATTTTTACGCGTTTATTTCTTATCCTAAGACAAAGTATAATACAAAAATTGAAGCCATTTTGGAAAGAAAAAATTGAAAATATTGAGGCTTCATGCAAATCTCTAAAATCAAAATATCCGTTTCAAATTCGCAGGGGTTTGAGTTTGTCCAGATCGATAGGGGAATATCAGTTTAGAAGAAAATCGTCTGAACAGCAGCGTAGGCAACAGACGGGCAGATAATCAGACGTTTGTTGTTAATCTATTTTTCGGTATCAATGATTTACAAATTGTGGAATCTAAACAAAATTTATCCAATTTCATTACTAGTGACTGACAACACGAGTTTGTCAGACGAAAAACTGCCGAAGTCCGCTGCAGCATTACAATACCTTTACTACGTAAGGACATTGAACGGAGAGGAAGTAAAAGTTGCCGACGCTAAACTTAAAATTTCGGGGTGGCCCACTCTTCTTTTAAATCCCCCTTCATATTTTGCGAGCCAAAGGCGGCCATTAAAGTAATCAATACCCGAGCAACCCGGTGGGGCGTTTCGCTGGTCGCGCGCCCGCGGGGAGCACGCGAGGGCTTCTGTCATGAAGCCCTTTCGCGCAAGATGGCCGGCGTTATGCCACACCACTCGTTGAGCGAGGTATTCCCCTCTGCCCAACATGTTTAACGCAACGCGATCTGGGTGAGGATAAGAGTTGGCATGGTCTGTAGAAAAGGATAATATTAATAAAGGCATCAAAAGTCGTAAAGGAAATATAGCGGAATATAATGAATATTGAATATATTTCGAAGTTACTATACATTAATACATGCATAGTCTACATGAAATAGTAAAGTATCCATAGATACTCTGCTGAAGACAGTTTCCGTCCTTTATTACAAAAGTGAAGAAAATTTAAACAAAAAATTTGGAGCAGTTTATCAGGAAAAAATTGATAATTTCAAGCGTGGGTTTCGCAAACAATTCGTTTTATCAAAAACATACACGACCTCAAAGCTAGTTTTGTACAACATTGTTTGAAGAAAACACATTTTATCTTCAACTTTTTAGTTTTAAAATTACTTTCTTTGCTCGATTTTCGAAAAATTCGATTCGATTTTCGAAAGGAAAATGAGATTTCAAACATTCTTTTACATGTCTTTCGCACTTTCGTGTCTTCGCACTCAACAAGAAAATTTAATAAAAACATTTGGAGTCTTTTTGAGAAAATTTTGAAAATGTTTTTGAGGCTTCATGTGAAGTACCCTCAAAAACCAAAATATCCGTTTGAAACTTCCAAAGCCATGAGATCATTCAGATCGATTGAAGACAATCGGCTGAACGGTTGAGGCGCTAGCGTTGACCACAGACGGACGAACGTTTCGCCGTCAAACGATTTTTCGTCAAAACATGGATTCTGGCTACACCACGAGTTAAAGAATTTTTTTCTAAATTTGGCAACAGGATTTACCCATTTCTTCCTTACCAGAACCCTGCTATGGGTTTTTGATCTGGGGAAATTTCGGCCTTTTCTGGCGCCCGATTACATAACTTACTCTTCTTACGAAGAATTCGTAAGGCGAGAAATTAAAAAAAAATCTTTCTTTATTATCATAGATATAATGTATATAGGACACTGAAACTATTTTGAACTTTTTTCGAAAATTTAGAGTTCAACAAAAAATGAGACCTGCGCCATTTTTGAGAAATTTTGGAAAATGTCAAGGCTTCATCGTCCCTCCAATCAAAACATTCGTCTCAAATTTGCAGGGCCTGGAGTTTGAAGTTTCATCAATAATGTAGTTTTGAATTTCAAACTCCACGCAAGATCCATACATGGATCTTGTCCCCACCCATTCTATCTTCAAACTCGCCTCCTCAGTTACTCAGTTACACAGCGCCAGGGAGTCCAACTTGTAGTAAATACAAATTGGCATAAGGGGTCGTCCCTAAATTACGTAGCGCTAAAAAAGGGTAGGAAGTTTGAGAAAGTGTTACAATGCGTAACATACGGGTAGGAGAGATCAAAGTTTATATAGTGTTACGTAATTTATTTATTTTTAAGTTTTCAACATTTGCCGAAATAATTGCTTGTTTTTGCCTTACACTAAAACATTAAAATATTAACAAATTAAATTAAAAATGTAAATAAATGTAAAAAGTTGAGATGTTGTTACAATAAATGAAAATATTTGTTAATATTAATTGTAATTTTTCTTCTGTTGGATAACGAAAAAAATACAAGTATTCAAAACTGATCTAGTACTATTCCAGAACGAGGATAAATTGACACAGTACACTCGGAGCCCATAAGTCATCAATGACGGCGTATGTAAGGTTTGTTGTCAGAAATTTTGTCGCCTACGCGTCCTTCATTCAAAAATTATCCATCTTATTGTTGCGTACAGTCCTCATCGTTAACTAATTCTAACCTTACTTATCATAATTTTAATACATAACACAAAATAAACTGATACTACTTATTGTTACTGCTTTATCATTTATTTTTACTTAATGTAAATGTTAATGTAAATGTGGTTTTATTGCACTCATTGCGTAATCATTTACGGTAAGGTAAGGTAATTATTAAAGGGGGGGACAAGGAGTAGTCAAATTCCTCCAAATTCGGCCCCCCAAGTGATTTTTGCGTGTGCGCAGGTGGTGGACGGGATGGCGGTCGTGCACAAGATCGAGAACACGCCGACGGACGCCGACGACCGGCCGCTGCAGCCGGTGGTGGTAGTGGACGCGGGGGCGCTGCCCACGCCGAAGCCCTTCACCGTCACCGACGAGGCATACGAGTAACGCGACCCCCGCCTCTCACTTCCCTCGCCCGGCGTAGGTAGAATCCGCCTCTCCCGCTAGCCCACAACTACTAAGTAGGTATACGGGTGAAATGCTTCAATTGCTCTCCCTCATTGTGTACACCTTCCTTTCTCCGGTGAGCCTGAGGGGATCCGCCTGGGGACAGCCTCTTCACAAATTCACATTTCCAACGTGCGCAGAAATTGAAAGGGAACTATGCAGTATTCGGTCTCGTGGAAACTGTCTATGGTTTCATTAGATAACCAGGCACTCTGGAAATATTTTTTTTTAAAACCTTGAATAGATCCTTTGAATGGTTCGGACTCTACTGATTGCAATGGGTTACAAGTAGTATTTACAAGTATGTAAGTACAAGAAACATACTGGCAGAGAAAGTGCACTTCAATTCCCTTAGAGATATGGAAAATTGTGTTGCTTACGAGCGTTGTTGCCAAATAACAAATTTATTTTTTATAAAAAACTATGTGTGCTCCAACAGCACATACTTTCTCGCATTATTGGGAACGGATAGGTGCAGTTATAATTCTGCAGTTTCTGACATCACTTAAACCATGCAGTCAAAAACAAATTCACACGAAGCGCCTGTAGCGAATATCTGCTATTATTTCGGTGGATAGTTGGAGCGGTAGCCCTTTCTTTCTGTTACAAAAGGAACAATCATGCATAAATCTCAACTATTACAATATTTGCAGCACATTATACAAACAAAGAAGATCAAAGATGATTTCACGTATCAATTAAAGGTTCAGAACTGAAAGCACTCCAATATAACTCCTTATGAATGCGCATATAGTAGTATAGTAGTGGAGTTAATTTACATTTTATTAAAAATGACTCCAAATTTTTCAAAGAAAATTTCCATATCGGACAAGATTTTACTCTTCTATAATATTTATGAAGTCGTATTTCAGTTCTCGTAGGAAACCTAAAGATTGAGAAAATTTGAAAAAGATGTAGGCGGAGATAGATGGCAGCTGGCATATAGCTAAGGCAAGACCGAAAACCTACCCCAGTCGAAAGAATTAGAAAACTAATATAAGAAAGTATGTGCTAGCCTGTAGCACCACTTATAAGTAAGCTAGACATTTAAAAATGTAAAATACGCATTTAATTTGACACTACACATTTTCCTTATCCTTACTTACTATGTACTTGTTTAGCAAGTTTCTGAAAGCAACCTAATATATGAATGTTTGCTTTCATAACTATTCTGGCAAAGCCTCGTAGAAATCCTTTCGATCATTGTCAGGAAAATTAAGACAAAAAAAGGATGAATTACAGTAGCTACCCTTTAGCATTTCATTAAATGCTGCACATATCATCTTTTTTTTCTCGTGTTTCATTTAAACATAATTGAAATCGTATGATTTTTTTCAATCGCCATGCGTAGCACAAATGTAACTTATGAAGCTCGACAGCCCATACTTTCTCGCGTTATTTCTTAAAAAGCAACATTTGCCATTTTCAGAAATTCAATGTACAACGAAAATGAGACCTGCACTGTCCTTTTAAGTGACCCATGTTCTATTTGTAGAAATAAAAAGAAAATTGTAGCGGTTTTTGAGAATTATTTTTGTAATTTGAATAAACTTCAAGGACCGGCAACAACTTCTATAGCGCCCTTTGATACATACAAGGAGAAAATTTTAAGAAAAAAATTTACAGCCTTTTGGAGCGAAAAAATGTTTAACCCTTAATAGGGCAATACAGCTTGATATAAAATTCGGAGATTATAATTGCAAGATATTATTATTTGGGCCCATATTAACATCAAATGACATTTAATTCGGAAAAATATTCGACAGTTTTTGAAAAAATATAGTGGTAAGTATGCTTACCAGAGAACGTCAATACGTTTAGTAGACACGGTGTGTTCTCTGGTAAGCGTGCTTACCACTTTTGTTTCATAAAATATAAACAAAAAAATGGTTTTACAGATGTTTACTGCATGAATATTACAAAACATAGATATATTTCTGACACAATAAAAATTTTATATCATACAATTCTAATCTTTAGGTTTGTGAAAAGGTAAGAAACATTCTATGCCCTGTGCGACCTGGCATTTTGTGCATATGGTCGTTGACCTCTTTTGCTTCTACAGAGGGCGCATCTTCGAAATGTTGCTCCTTTTGCAGGAAGGTGATCGCCAACATTTTCAAGTCGGGAAGTATTTTCTATAGTTGGTCGGCCGTCTGGGTGGTTTCTTTTTTCTTTCTTTTTTTGCCTCTTTCGATGGAATTGGCTTTTCTTCACTAGCCCCGAAAAAGAACCTTTTAGTTCTGAGGCCAACAATAATCTGAATTTTAGGTGTTAGCGGTTTAGTGATTATACTGGAATTTTTAAGCGTTCTTGTATACAATGTAGCTGTTTACTATGCAAGCGTCGATGCAATCATAAAATATTTTCATCCACCAGCGTCTTGATTTCCACGATATGTTTCAGGCCGAAATTTGCTGATCAAAGCGATCAACTCCTCCCATATTAGCATTGTAATATTTTGCTGATTCAGGGCACGGAACAAAATCTCTTTTACCTTCTTTATTTGTGCGCTGCACCCGAGATATTGCCTTTGAATTATGCATAGTCCTGATAACAGTAACACTCTTCTTTGCCTCGGTCTTTCAATTTGGAAATGCCAATATCGCCAGACATTACTGCGTCACAGTGTCCCATTTTCAGATATCTGTCCGAAACAAGTTTATCCCCTGGAAAGAATTTTCGTGTTTGTCTTATTGTTCCACAAGCAAATAGCTTTTTGGTTAACAGTGTTTTCACCATGCCAATGTGTGAAAAAAAATTGTCAAGAAAAAAAAAAGCATCCTAATCCTTCGAAAGCGCTGCTACGTTTCTCTACAACTCGTTCACCTACATTCCCGAGCAATAACTTGTAAGTGCACAAGAGAACCCAGATCTTAAAACCTCTGATGGGTTTCATAGGCATGTATTGCTTCAAAGAACTTCTCCCTTTGAAGTCCACCATTGACTCAATTGACAAGAAACGCGAAAGTTTATATTGCTGCTTGATCCAGCAAAGGTCGCAATTTGTATAGACTATCAAAATTTTATTCTCGTTTTGGCAATTTCGATTTGTCATTTAGATGCAAAAACCGCAACATTTTTAGGAATTTTTTCTCAAGTGATTTATTCCTAAGTTCGTTCTAAAAAACAAGCTATATTTAGGATTATGTGTATTTGACTTCAGGATAATAATTAAACTTAACGTACAAAAAATTAGAGTAGTTCACAATGGTTGATTATAACGTTTGTAACATTAGAAAGCCAAGCACAATCCTGTATTGCAACGAAAAACGCATGCCTTCTGTGACTTCCAAGCGCGCCCGCTCGAGGGCTTTTCTAGTACATGCTTCTCATTATTACGCAATAACGTCTGGGCAGAATCAAAACACAAACGTGCAACAATTGAAATTATATAACACATAGAGTGTGAATACCCATAAATTAATACTTGTAGAGAAATTGACATCGAAATATCAATTAACATTTTTACGGCAGGACATCATTTTGTACAGTTATGTGGCATTCTGATAAATGTTAGTATACGGGCCATAAAAAAACAAACAAATATACTAGAGTTTGAAATCGATAAAAATAACTAAATAATGTAAATCTTACCTGCATTTTAAAGAATCACCCACTGAAGCACGAATATTTGCGATTTAAACCACTTGGACGACACTCACTAGCAATTCTCCCGCACATATGGACGGCAGCAAGCAGGCTTGCCACTTATTGAACATCACGACGCAAAAGCGGCAAATTCAAAAAGTGGTAAGAATACTCCGCAGAGCGTTTACATACGAGTTTCAGGAACATAGGTCTCACTTAGTAATTTAATTCCTAAACAAAGTGCTCCTAAATGACCAGTGGTAAGAATATATACCAGGCTTAAAAGGGTACCAAGGGTTAAAAATCGGAAGTAAAAACTAACTCCAGTGATTTTGCAGGTATTTCTAATTCGTATATAATACCGCTTGTGCATCAAAATGAATAAGTAACTTAAATTTTGCATTTTCCACTGAAGGAAAAAATAGGCACAAATATGCGGCTTAGTTGTAAGATGCATCGATCTATCTGAGGAGGAATTATAGCTCATGGACTTGGGAGGAGAAAATCCTTCACTCAATTTAGGTGCTACTAGTTCTCTCAAGACAGTTCTTCATCAACTGAAGTTTCGGTAACATGGATCTAGTACAAAAAGTAGATTCTGACTACAACGTGTTACAATTTTAAGTAACTAAATGTAGGAGCAAAAATTAGTATCCACTTTTCGGTATGAAAACACAAAGTGTTTTTCTGCCGAAAAATTTCACTGCAGCATTATAATTCTCTCTCATTTCTACAAGTATAAAGAATGCGAGAAAGTAAAAAAGAAGTGCATAACTCAAAATACGGAGAAATCGGAGAGGCACCTCTGGATGTTTCTTTGTGAGAATGCTTGTCATTTCATTGATCATTCTTTTTTTTTTCTAAAAGCTGGGCTTACAAGTTACAACCTATTTCACTACATTAACTGTTTACAGTCAGGCTCATCACAAAACATGACAGTGGTATGAAACCTTTATCTCAACATGCTATGTTGAGAAAGAGAGAGAGAAAGTAAGCAAAGAAAAACACACACACACACACACCAACAATAAACAAACAGCAATAAGTGCCCAACTAGTAATAACATCATGCTTAGTCTGTTCAATTAAAAAGACACTTTAAAATCCTCAAAATATGTTCCCCAGAAACTCCCACATCAAAAGCACTATTCCTTTTCAAAAATTATTTCTTGAAAGAAAGCACTTTTCCTTGGGCCATGATTACAAAGTATTTTTATGTTTGTATTACCACATGTTAAGATGTTTCTTGATATACAAATTAGTTTCTTCTGAGCAAATAATGATTTCAACAGATTTCTTTGCCAGACTGCATGAAAGGCTTTTTCAGATGCCTTCACCAGAGAATTATTCAATCAAATAATTTCAGCATTCTTTTGACATCAAACTGGGAATTCAAATCCATTATTACTTAAACACTACATTTGCTCATATGATTTCCATAAAATATTTCCAAAGTTAAAATTTTGATTATAGATGAATGTTAACTATTCATAAGGAGAGAAACCTTACACTACTTACCATATGATCAATGTAACTTTTCTACTCAAATATCGACATTAGATACAACTTTATAGATTTTGTTCATCTTACAGAGAATGTCCAGTAATGTCCTCTTCAATTATATTGCTCTCAGTATGCAATGTTTTGAATTGGCAACCACTGACTAGTAATATTATTGCCCTCTGCCATTTATTGAAACTATGTAAGGCAGGTTTTGCTCACGAATGCAAAACCTTTTTTGTCCTTTCATAAAATTGTAAAAGATCCTAAACCCGTTCTTCTGATCTTTTACAGCATTTGGGGGTGGATTCGTGGTGCCTCTGTGCCACTGGCCTTCTCCTTCTCCATTCTTGCTTTCTTTCATTGGATGATTAGGCAATTGGATATTGTCATTGAGGACGAAGAACAACTTGCACAGCCCATACCCAAAATTGCTTCAGCAACCCTGCCTTCTGACGAGGAGACAGAAAATCCAAGCACCACTGAATCTGAAGATAATGACACAATACTCCGCAAACGATCTGTTAAACAATCAGATGAGAAATGAAGCTTCCAACTTAATTCAAACTCAATATCAAAAAAACATTTAACAGACATTAGGGAGTATGTACGTTAAATACTATGTGATAACTTTATTTGACTATGAAAGTCACTTTATTAGTTAACATTCTGAGTAAGCTGTCTGGGTTCTTACCTAAAAGGACACATAACAATAAGAAATTTGAAATAAATGAACTTTTCTTACATGTGCTTAATCGACTTAAAAACTGTGATGGAAATACTTTGTAAAGGGAATCATCTGATCTTCATTCAGTAAATCTTTAAATTTTACTGTAGTAAGGTAGTGTTCAAATACTTTAATTTCAATATTTTCTAGCAACCAACAAAAGATGTTAACAATTAAACTAAGAACATTATTTGCCTAAAGATATTTGTTTCCCTCTGGGTATCAAAGATGTATTGGGAAATGCAAATATGTGATGTCTTGCAACAGTATTTTGTATTTGACAAAGAAGGTAATCATCACAGTCCTTATTGAAATAGTATTGAGTCAAGAGTTTTTTGTTGTTTTTTTTAAATTACGAGTGTATTTGCAACATTAACTACCTTAACATTGAATGTTATGAAAACAATTTACAATTAACTTCAGATGCAGTAATCAATAAACCCTTCCTAATAAATTCAACAGTTAATTTGAATCAACAGGTAATTTACACACATCCGTCTCACTCAAACATTGATTATAAAAACATAACAATGCATTCCCATACAATAGTTATATGATTTTTCTTGTTTCTTCACTAAAACATCTTGAACAATTGTTGCCCATGAATAATAGGCAAGGAAATAGAACCTTATAAAACCAGTAAGTAATACACAGAGTTTATTTCTTTTATTGTATTTGAATCTGCTGTACAACCAATCTCATACTGAAGAATATATTTTTCATGAATTATTCAGCCTCATTCCTGGATACAGAAGTCATTCACCCAAGTAATGAACTGTACAGGTGTTAAAACGACACTTTACTACAAATTACTAACCATACCTGAACATCTCCTATGGAGAAGAAACTTAAACAATCAAAATTCAACAATCATTAGTTTACAAGATTTCTCAACATTGAATATTAAAGCATTTGATTTGATGAACTCACTGCCAGGGTATCTGAATGCACATGAGCTGCACATGAACATTTGCACTAATTAATGCTTGTTAGTTTCAAATGCAGTTCACAGATGCATTTGCATTACGAAGAAAAATATTACTGTAAATTAGGCTGTATTAGATGACCAACATTCTGTTTTGTAAATTTGCACAATTATCACAGCAATTGCATAACTCCTTAATTATTTTTCTTTTACATACAGAACAATCACCACAATTTACTTGAGTAAACTAGTTTACTTCCTTGTTTTCAACCACAAAATCATGTACAAGAGATGTGCAGTCCTCAACACACTGGATATATACCTATTTACATAACACCACCTCAGCACTCAATGGGCACTAATACTGGAAGTGGCCGACCACAGGAGCACGGCTCCCTGGCCCTGGCTCTGGCTCTACTGCTCACTACGGAGCTAGAGCAGCAAGACTTGTACAAGGTCCTTACATTATGGAAATCACTAATCTTAAAACTGTGGGGAGATGGCCTTTCAAAATGAATACAAGGAATGCTGGTTTAAATACTAAATGTGAGCACAAGCATATTCTGCTTGCATACCCTAGAATGAAGGACATCCTGCAATTCTTAATGTGTTTTTTAACTCCTGAAAAGAGCACTTCTAAGCCATGAAAGTTATTCTGGCAACTGTTAGTGTCCAGTTATCTGTCCTTAGTAAATGTGAATCGTATTGGTGATACCCCTAATCACCAGATTCACTAAACCGAATAAATGTATATAGATTTTATTTATATATATATATATATATATATTTTTATATATGTATATACACATCTAAAAAAATACATTCTTGTAATCAAGAAAAAATATGGACAAGTCTCCCTACAAGTTAGCATGCCACATGTACATATATACACACACACACAACTGGAGCTCCAATCAGGAGACTCCTTACGCTTGGGTTCAATTAGAGCGCAATATAAATACAAGAAAACTATGCCACACAACCCTGGAATGGGGTCTGAGGCAGAACCTAGAAAATTATCTGCAGAGCTACAAGTCCTGTATTGTCCTGTGCGGTACAACGGAGAAATGTACCAGATACAGAAACCGGGTAACCAGCTGCCTCAGCTGAACCTCAATGGCAGACCCACACACTCGTCAATCAGTCACCCTCAAACATAATCAACTGGACAGAACACAAACAGGGAAGTTGAATTTCTTCACAATTCAGTTACAAGTCTAAAAAATTGAAGTAAAAAATTACTAGGAAGCCACAATGGATACAAAGAAACAATTACAGGAACAATACAAAATTCTACAATCAGGGTAGGAGGTTTTCCAACCCCCTAAGCCAGCATGGCTCTACTTCCAACCTACTGCCAGCACTTTCAGCAACGGTCAGTGAGGGGAAAGAAGAATCTGGCAAAGCGTCATATGACCTAGACCTCAGCAACCACTACATGACACTAGATAGCCCTCTGCATGCAAGGTTGGAAGTGTTCGTAATGGATGAAGATCAACATACACCAGTCAAGACCTAGAGGGCAAACAAAGAGGTCCAGACGAAAGCCTGCATCGCACTACAGCCACTTCCTACAGTCAGTCTGGCATCTGCTGTCCCTGGCTTCTACGAAGCATCTCTGAAAAATAAAACAGTAAACAAAATGTAGTAAAAAAATGACCACTTAAATTTATAAATAAAGGCATTTGCAATTATTTATATACACAAGCCTTTTTCTTACTTCTCAAATTTTAAAATGAACATTCATTGACTTTGTTCCTATTACTCTGAAACCTCACACATCAAATTTCTTTGAAATCAAAATACTCTAAACTTTGCTAATAGGAGCGTAGACATTCTCAGACATGTATCACTAAGGCTACGAGGCACACCAGCTTATGATGTGATTTTTAATGTCGACATCTTTCAGAATAAAAGAAACAAACTTAATGGATGAGTGTTTCAAAATTTTACATTAGGCACACACTAGATTAGAGAAACACTATGAAGAGTTCCTAAGTAGTAAGAAAACACATCCACTTTTTGGCATTGGCCATTCTAATTTCTTCAACATGAATCTTATAATGACATATAAGATATATTAAGGATATTTAATGAATTCTTATCACTAGAGTTAATTTGGAACCATTAAATATATAGTATGGGCAAAAATTGCTACCATTAAATATATTTTCTCCCCCTTGCAGTGTATGGCAATAGTAATTGTGCTCTCCAATCCAAACAGCATTCCCTGTGAATTTTTAGTTTTTAGTATTTACTATTTCAGTATGTGTTTTGTTGAATAATATAGACAATTCTCATTTATTGATGTAATTTCGTATCATAAGAAAACACAATAACAGGTAATTAAATAATTTCTTCACTGTTTTTAATACCATTCTCGATGAAGTTAACTTACGGAAAATCAATATAGCAAGCTCACTTAATTTGCTGACATCTGTTGGAAACCTAACAATTGTAAGTTTTTGTAAGTCGGTTTGCCAACTGTACTGGAATTGAGATTCAGCACAACAAAGGAGATCAGTTGGGTGAAATTAGTAGAAATTGTGACAGATGAAAAGAAATAAACCACAGCCCCTTTTTCTAAGATTAAAGTTATTCCTCTTAATTGTTTTAAAAATATTAGATTTAAAAATTGTGTCCCACAGTGTGTCAATCAGCTTGAATCTAATTGCATAATTATCTTTCTAATATCCCACACACAGTGTAGAGAATGTATTGTAATACAGCAAAAAAATTCTAATGTGTGAAGCATGACAGAAATATGTTTTGGAGAGTACTGATAATGAAAAAATGTTGTTTTTTTTCCTTTTTATGGCTATATGGCTATATTTCCAAAATAGCCTGTTGTTTTGTCTGGAAATAACACTAGCACCTTTACTGTTCACACAATTTACTCAAAAATAGATTTTTTGGATACTTTACATAAGCCCTTTCGATATTTCCAAACTTTCTAAACTAAATGGCTCCAAAGTTTTTACTTTAAATCTTATGCTTGAAGCATGCTCATAAAAATGCTGCATCATTGAAACCTCTGAAATATTAAAAATTGCAAAAAGTTAAAAAAAATTGGACCTCCTCCTACAACTACATTATTGAAGAGAGATTTTTTCTTAATGAAATCTATTGTTCAAAAATAGACCTTTAATTTTGAGTGAAATAATTTTTACAAAAATTCATAACCACAATTTTTCTCAAAAAGGACTTACAATTTTTTCTTGAATTTTTTTCTCTAACAGCAAACTTTGCTTAACAATGTGGTACATGTCGATTTTCTTTCAAACCTCCAATTTCATAAATTGCTGAAGTTCAATTCTATACTTTCAATACTAAAGCTAGAGATTTCCTTCTATTTCTCGTTATTAGATCACTTAATAAATTTACATGGTTTTTTCTCTATCTTCCCTATTTTAGTAATTTTCAGGTAATTCTGAGATAAATCCTGCAAATTTTTCATAATCACTAGTACCAGAATACCTACACTACCTGAATAGTCTTCATTCTGGCTTCTTTGAATTCCCACAACACCAAGAAATTTATTAAAAAATATTTAAATTTTTCTTCAATTCATTTATAAATATGGTTTCCATTTTCATTAAAGCCTCTAAACTTTCAAAAATAGCATATTTGAACCTCCCGTGCTTCTTTTGTTAAAGAGTGTTTTGAGATGGCTAGAGAGAGAGTAAGACACCAGTTGCAATATTACAATACTAGATGGACTTCTGTATTAACACTCTGCACATGATTGTTTTAAATGTGAACGTAGCTTCACAATGGAACCCAATTTTCCACATTTCTGGTAAACCATGCTACAGAATGAAAGTACCTTCCAAAAATGTAACAGAATATTAAAAATGGTCTCCTTCCTTAAATTACAGAATAAAATCATAACTTGTTGTTCTCTTGGGTGTACAAAAACTTAATTTTGAGGACATAGGATGCAGTTGAAGAGTAATATGTGTAGGGGGTTGCAGGTACACCTGGTTTACTATAATTTGCAAACTTGTATATTTTTCATCTTTAATCTCTTTGATTCACAACTGGGTGAATAATTGCCTACTAAGCATTAGTATTCTTGAAGATAATTGTGTAGCTGGATTCTTATATATCACTTAAACAGTCGCAGTCATCTTTCCTTAATGTATTGTTTATAGTGGGAGTTATGTACCCATTACAAATAATATGATAAAATACGTTCTGTTGCACCCCCACAAGTGTTGTTTTTGTTTGTTAGTTCTTTGAAAATAAGAATAAAAATAGATAAATGACAGTAAATATTAGCTATTGGAATTTTAACAACCCTTCATTAATTGTTTTCAAGAACACATTATTAGCACAACCAAGCAATGCCATAATACAATAAAAATGCAAATCCTCTTACAACTACCGCTTTTATTTAATTGCAATGCAACCACAAGCTTGTATTTTCTAGCCCTTTGGTTCTGAATTCCTTTCTTGAATAGGATAGGAAAGTGCACATTAATTTAGAATTATATATTTAACACAAAAGTACTACATAGAAAAATGATCAAAATCTGAAGATATTCAATGACTGGTACAAGAATAATTTAGAGAGTTTGTTTGGAAAAACATTTGCAATAAAGAAGTCAATTTGATAATGCAGAAGATCAAACATAATAAATGAAAATTTGCAACAAATTCTTTTGAACCATCCCCACCAAAAACATTCAGGAATTTCATTTCAAATCATATTCAACTCTATTCAATGATGCCTTATTCTACTTGGTGACTCAGGCCTTTAGGCCTGATCTTCCATCTGACCATGCAAATTGCTATGCTTCTTTCACCATCTGGCAGACACAAAAGGTCAGTGTCTAGGGTGTCAAAGCAGATGATTTTAATTTAGCTCAAGAGGACTTTTTAGGCTTGATCTTCTACATGCAGTAAATCTATAATGGGACATCCAGCATTATTTCCCCTCCGAAGGAAGGTAGTCAAAGGAGCTTCTCTCCTTGAAAAATCAACGACTTGGATCGGGCTTGAACTGCAGCCTTGGGTATAACAGTCTAGTATGCTGTTACACCAATTAAATCACAAATCTTATATCTCAAAGTAATAAGCAATTAATCAAAGTTTCACATAAAAATTAACATTTACTTGAAAACAACGAATTTAATTTTAAGAATGGATACGAAAGTACCCTCACTAAAACACACAAAAAATTAATGAAACAAATACATGTTTATTCTGAATAATTGTATTACCCCCTTCCCTAATTCGATACATCATTATTATCGCAAATTTTCACTGTAATTTGTAAAATTTTAATGCCTTTCTGTTTGATCAATAATTTTTGTATTAATTTTTATTAATTTGATACTGAATAACCATTATATTAAATGGAAGCCACTTTCTTAGCACTATAAATGGACTAATTTCATTGTAACACAATGACAAAGAAAACGAATACATAAATATTCGCCATGAGTAACATAATAATTTTCACAAAAATAACTTTCACTTACAGAAAAGACAAGCTTAAAAAATATACCTAAGAAAGCGATCTAAAATTACCTTCACTAATTTGGTAGAAGTTGCAATGCCCTACAATTCTATGGTAAAATGGCAAATGGGGTTTTCCTCAGAAATTTTAAAGTAAAGTAAATTTAAGAAAGAATATTAATTCTATTGAGAAAGCAGTCAAACTACTTAAGGAATTGTAACTCCAAATCCATCAATACTTTACCTTTTCCACACTGAGTAGAGTACAAAAATATACGAAAAGCAAAACTATTAACAAAGATTTCAAAATTTAAGAGAAGAAACATTCAATTATTTCACGAAAGGGACTGAGAACTTTTTTCCATATGAAGGTCTCTAGCAATTTTCAATTATTATTTTTCTTCTGGTAAGCTACTGCTTATCACCAAGTAGGTTACATGCATGTGCATGCATTTTAGGCACAAGCAGAAGCACGAGAGTTTGTGCACCACTATGAAGAACATCACGTTTCTACCTTGTTGAAGTACTTCGTAACATTGGCTTTGTGGTCAGTACTTTTCCAAGAAAAGGTCAATTTGTGATTCTTGAACTACTAGTTCTCAATCCCATTTCAAACATTGAGATTAAATTAAGAGCAACATTAAAGAAGAGTCCAGTTTTACCTGTCCAGCTTGTCCATGGCAGCTATAAGCCTAGCATCTGCTGCTGGAAGAAGACGGGCCAAGAGTTCCCGAACCAGCAGCTGTGAAATGCCAGGACTGGATCGTTCGGCCAGCTCGAAGGCGTTTTTCAGTTCTTCTGCAGCATCTGTCTTGTGAGCCGATTCAGGCCCACGAGACTTGTACTGGTGTCTACGTTGCAACTGAAAGTAGTTATTATGTGTTAAACATACTTGAGTACTTACTGAAAAATACTTTATATACATGAAAATTGATTTATAAATGATTATCAAATTTCAAAGCACTACATGATTATAATATTATTTCTATTACTGCAGGTCTCAAAGCAGTTCAAGATTTCCCATATCGTTCTTTTCACTTTCCTAAACTAACCAATCTAGCTATCAACTCTTTTGTAGGCTTTTATTCACTTGACCACTTAAATCAAATCCTTTTGCATTGAGAGGGTAACCTGCTGTTGTCTCTTCCTTAATGACAATTGCCTGCACACCGTATAAGTTCCTCTAATTACAAAATCCTGTATGTGATCACCCGATGATGAAAAATACAGAATAATCTCAAATCCTTTTTACATTCATGTAGTTATTGAAATTGCACTTGCACTTGCCCACACCCCCCAAGTTAGGCCATAGCCCACTGGCAATGGTAGTATTTTAAGCTCAATGAAAAGAGGCCTGCAAGAATCAGATTAATGTCATTTATTTATTATTTGTACAATTTTCTTTTTGCAATCTAAAAGACTGGGTAGAGTGGGATGCGTTTCCTCAGAATACTTTACTGCATTTTAAGTGGGGCCATAGATTTGCAAAATACTTGCAATGATCTGCATGAAAACTGACTGAATTTGAAACAACTGAATGCATAATTTAATAAAGTTAATTTAGTATTCATTTTATTTATAAAGACTCTCTATTAAAATTAGGATAACTATTAGAATTTACATTATGATAGAACATTATAACACTATAATGGGCAGTTGCCTTAACTATGGGAAAATTCCTACTTTTAAGAGACTGACAAAAATGGTATCTACAATACTATATCTCAGTACTTCAGTATATATATAAATATATATTTAGATACACACACATATATGTACATAGGTACTTTTAGTTACACTTCTTCCCATTTCTCAATATTTAAATTAAAATACATTTATAAATTAGAAATAGTACTTTTCTTACCTCTGATATAAGAGGATAGATAGTACTTGTCAAGCAAGGTGAACGTTGAGAAGAGGACACTTTACTGTTCGTCTCGGGTTCAGCCACTGATCGCCTGTTGCGTGGGCGATCGGCCAAAGGATCAGCTGCCCCAGCAGGTTCCCCTCGGTGATCCAAGGGAGTTTCCCTCCCATTGCCTCTTGGAGCTTTCTCCTTATCTTTACGATTATCGACAGGAGCAGGAGCCGCAGGTGCTGCCGAATGTGGTCGAGACTAAAAATTACAAGAATAATAATGATAAATGCACCAATAACCAGAAATAATAGTTTTACTTATGTTCAAATTGTTTAAAAAATTTTACAACGTATAAAAACATACAGGAGTAGCCTTCTCACTGCGGTAATGATTCAAATTTGAATCCTTTGGTGGAGACTTATTCTGAGGAGGGCCAGATCCATTTTGGGCCTTCTGGGGAATCTTATGATTAGGAGTGTCATCACTTGGTGGCTTAACAGAATGGGGACCCTTTACTGTCATTATCCACGGTTCATCTAAATCGCTATCTTGTTTTGCTTCCTCACTGCAAACACGAAGAATTTGTAAAATTAGCATGACATAGCATTAAAACTAGTAATATGCATTCAAACACAGGCAGAATCTATTATAAAGCTAAAAACAAGACAGATTAATGAGGAAGGAATTTAATGAAATATCAATCACGGAAAATCAAGGACTCAAGAAGAAGGCAATATAGATGAGAAAGACAACATTAGTAAGGCACAATACAATGCAAAGTTTAAATGAAAAGGTAGAAGAATACATAAAACATTTTATTTTGTATTTTTGGAGAAATTGTACTGAAAGCCTTTGAGATTACAGACTCTATGTGAGTTGTCATTTTGCAGGAACATTTAAACAGTAAAAATAACTTACGAATCTGAGTTTTCTGACTCCGTTTCACTCTCTTCACTACGCTGAGACTTCCATTTCTTGTATCTATCAATTAAATCAATGAGGTATGAATTTTTCTTGGCTTTCTTAATGAAAGGAAACCTAAGCAGTTCCTTTGCTGTTGGTCTCTGCACACACAGAGAAAAAAATATATGAATACAAACATAAAGAAAGATAATTTAATTTAAAAAACAACTTGAATCAAAAAATGGGACAATTATCTGTTCTAATTTCCAACACAGAGCCCCATTTTAACAACTTAAATTTACACCCTCTATTTACTACTTTTGCCATGCAGATATCTTATTTGTTGATGAATGTACAATATGTTGCATGCAACATATGATCCATATTACAGTTTCTTCTTAGTACTAAATTTTAACAGGATCAAATCGGGGAACATATAAAATAAAATGAAAGTAAGTAAGAATAATTATGCCACTCAATTGAATTTAGTAAAAATGCTCCTCATTCTCTCACACCATCAAATATCTTACAATTATGCAGGTATAAGCAAATTATGAAACTTTTGTGCTTTATTTTCATACACACAATCCACAATTTTGCTTGGATTTATACCCACAATACTTATTTTTAATAAACTGTGAATTATAAAATGATTTTACTTACATTTTCAGGATCCTTATTGAGACAAGCTTCCACAAACTCTTTAAATTGTTTGGTGTAGTTGCCAGTCAGCTGAGGGGGGTTGTTTTTAGGGATAAGGAACAGAACTCGCATGGGATGCAGTTCCGAGTTAGGGGGTTCACCCTTGGCAAGTTCTATGGCTGTAATACCCAATGACCAGATGTCTGCCTGTGAAATAACAGTGACTGTAAGTCATCTGCACAAGAAACTCCATTCAGTAATTTAAAACTCTGGTCAAGTAAGTACTTAAGTACATAAGTACTTAAATACATAAGGGGAAAATCTTAAAGGTATCTTGAAGTTCCAATTTTGAGTGTTTGCCCAAGCAATTTGCACCATTGGTACATGTTTCACAAATATATTACTCTGGAGGTGTATAGTGGATCCAACCAGCCCTGGTGGCTGATGAATTTAGAACATACAATAAAAACAACAGTATTGCATATGGCATAAGGCAATGGAACTTCTAGACAGATTCAATACACTCTTGCAGTCCCCTTTGACTCTTGAACTCAGAGTGACTGACAAGATCATTGAAATAAACATATTACAGGAATAGAGTAAACAGATACCAAAATTTCTGGTATATAAGCAAAATATTTGCGTAAATACTTATTATTAATAATGCGAAATGTTACATTTATACGAATGCCTACTCGTGATTTTTTATAAAATAATTCTTAACTGAAATGCAGTACAATTACATTGTAAAAGTATGAGATTCTTTGCCCTTCCATTTCTTCGAAAAATTGAAAGTAACACTATTTAATTCTTTTCTTCCAATGTGCTGCTCTTTGGCAAAATTTCATACATTTAAACCAAAATTAATGATAAATGAATGGCAAAACTTGGGGTAAAATACACTACATTATTAAAATGTACTTCACTAGAATTATAATACAAAATATATTTTTATTTCATTGAAATACAATCACAAAATTCTCAAGAACAGGCCTTTGAAGATCTCCACAAACCTTTGAATCATACGCAGACTGCTTAATAACTTCTGGAGCCATCCAGAAAGGTGTACCAACAAAGGTGTTACGTTTGCTGGTGGTATTTGTGAGTTGGCCAGCAACTCCAAAATCTGCCAATTTAACATCACCCATTTCACTGAGCAACACATTTGCCGCTGCAACAATAGACCTCTATTAATATCAATTCAGTAATTGAACGATAATTTATTTTCAATTTTTTTTTTTTATATAAACTTTTTAGTAGTGGACTTGAAAGTAGAGACAGCTTACACATATTGAAACAAGCATTCGAAAGCAGAAAACCGGTTCATTTACCTTTGATATCACGATGAAGTTTGCGTTCTGAATGGAGGTAATCCAAACCTTTCAGTACTTCACGTAAAATCACAGCAATGTGCATTTCTTCAAAACTGCCAGCTTTCATCAGGTCCAGGGCTGAACCCCCACCCAAATATTCCATAATAATCCATAGTTTGGTGCCCTAAACAATAAAACAACATTGATGTAAATATGTATGTAATATTATTTTTGAGCAATTACCTGTTATATCAATATATAAATTACACCATTATTTAAAAATTACTAAAAAGAAAATGATCACAACAGAAATAGAACACACTCACTTAAAACCAAGACTAACATTAATCATCATTAATAACCAGTCAGTTGTTCAGCTCATTAGCGGAAATAAAGGTTCCATTTTTTCCCTTCAACTGAATTAATCAATTTAATAATTAAAATAGCACATTAATTCAACAAAAACGTACAATCATAGGTTTTCAAACTCATCATAGAAAGTGAATATTAGGGAAAATTTGCCGTGCAACAACCTTTAGTACATCCGATATTCAAGAGGAATCATTATTGAATTTGGCAATGAAGGAATGGAGAAGCTGAGAAGTTTGAGACTGCACTAAGCTTTGTGGCAACAAAAATGTATGTGAAAAGTGTCATGAAGAAATTTGTTGGTCGTCCTTGAAGTGATATAATGAAATTTAACACAAAGAGGACAATATATTTCCATACAAAACATAATGATTTAATACGATGAAAGAATATACAGTGTGCTCATACAATCTCAAAGCTCTACTAGCCATGTGAAACTATGATGTCATCCATGATGTCATATGGTAGGGTATATCCAAAAAGAGACTGTTAGTCACGTTGCAGTCAAGTATACAGTGATGAATGTTAACAACACATGCTGGACTGGAAAATATATTCATTTCTTTCTTCACAGTCGTTATGAC